CGAATTGAGATACAACTCCACTCTTCTTCAAACTATCGTTAACGCCGGAAAATTTCAAATTCATATTTTGATGTATGACACAAACGCATACATTGTGCGTTCCACTTTTGCCAACAGAAATAAACCAAACAGGACGTAATTTCGTAAATGCTAATAAACTTATTTTGATATCAGGATGCTCTTTACAAAATTTATCATGCAGATCTTTGATATTATGCAACAACAACCGTTTTTGCTTATCTTCACTTTCCCCGTCATTTCTGATCACGGTTACATACTGTCTTTTTCCAGCCATAATTCGACTTGAATTGTCTGACGTGTAACAATTTTCAACTAGCTGCATCCACAGATAAGGCACGTCCCTTTTTGTTATCAGGAGTAGAAGCATATCCTCGTGATTTTTGCAACTTTTTTGCATTCCAAGCTGAACGTCGAGAAACTCCAAATAGTCGGTGTATTTTCCGTACACCATAATCTTCAGGTAATGTTGTCAAAATTTTCATTTTTTCTGCTTTTTATGTTGCATTTGATATCGCAATTTTAACATGTTCTGTCCAAGCAGCCAAGGTTGAAGTTTCGCCATTGGATAAATCTGAACTTTCATTCAACAACAAAAATTCAATACTGAACTCAAAACATTTTACCGTTATCGATTTTTCTTTTTTTACACTCATTTTCACTTATTTCATAATCGGAAGACAAACCGTCAGGTTCAGTGTCGGAATAGGAATCGCTTATATGAATTTCATCCTGTACAGCTTCTGTAAAAAGGACGATAAAATCGCAAGTCTGCACGAGTCACATAAATACTTCAAAATAAAAGGGGAATACACACTACTCCAAATAGCGTTGACGAGTTTCAGATTTTTTTTCACTGACTTATGCTTATTTTTTCGTAGAGGATTAAAACACACATTCGGGCCGGCATTATAGCGATTTCTTGAATATACTATTATTTCTGAATTTAACAATGTAAATATTCATGAAAATATCAGCACATTGTCAAACAAGCGATTAAAAAAGGTTAGGTTCAAAGACAGACTCGTTTTGCAGGAACATATGTTGTGTTGAGGATAAGCCTGCATTGCGTGACTTGATGTGCGCGCGCACCTGCAAAAATCTGCGCAAACCCGTCAAGTTGGTAAGCAATTGTGGATGAATAATTACCGTACCTGCTCAAAAATTTACCTAAATGACTATTCTACTTGACAATTATTCATCTATATTACTAACCTGAGGTTTTCTTCGAATGCTTTCAAAATTCATAACGAATATGTACAAAATTATACTGTTTATGAAGGTATGGAGGCATAAATTTATCAATCAAAACTATATTTTTAGCTTGTAAAACAATTGTCACCTTCATTAGTTAGTGAAACTTCTTCAAAATCCAAAGCTCATCGAGTAAAATAGCATTATCACACGGATATGAACATGCTCCTGTACGGAGGCGCTTATAACGTGTTCGCGCTTGCGTGCGTTCGGTGAATATAATAATCATAACATTTTTTCCAAATGAGTCTCATTTTTTTCTCAACGGATTCATTCAGGTTTCCCCTTGATGCATATACAGTAGACTGCATCACCAAAAAAAGTTGCGGTTTTTCCACCGGGATTACAAAATTTGTTATATTTTAAGACGTCCACCAAAATATTTCCGAAAAATATTAAGATTTAAGCGAGCTGGACCGATTTGAATGAAGTTTTTTATGAATAAAAATAGTTTCTTAAAGAACTTTCTGCATAAAAATATTTAAAAATCTTTTCAACGGGATCGTAAGAATGAGATTTTTGATGCTGTTTTTTTTTTTACTTTTTTCAAAGATTGGTTTACGAAAAACTCGAATAACTGGGCCAAAAATGTTCTGGTTTAGACTTATGGGACATCAGTAGAAAGGTATTTTCACACCGTTTTTATTTCTGGCCAAAAAAACGTCATTCGTGTCCCATCTTGTTTTTTGGAATACCAACACATCTTAATTCAAATTTTAATGACGTTCGTTCATCCTACCTTTCTCTTCCATCCTTTGAATGAGTTTATTAGCAAAGAAATAAAAAGGGTGAGAAAATACATTTCCAATGACACCTCTTAAGTCTAAATCGGAAGACTTTAGGTTCAATTATTCAAGTTTTTCCTATACCAATCGTCTTAGAATATAATAGATTTTATAATTCCAATGGAAAAATAGTATCGATTTTTTTTGTATGGGGAGTGATACAATCTAATATACAGTATTTTTTTTCATGAAAAAATTCCTGCAAACCTGTCGGAAAAGATCCCACGTAGCTCGATTCTTCTACAAATTAAATTTCCTCTAACGACGAGGGCCCCACGTTGGGCGCCAATTTGTCACCAAATATTTTGTGCACTAATCAAATCGCCTACCTAATGTACCAACTAAATGCACTTACCGTGCGCAACAACAATGCAACGGGGTCACAACAACAATGCCATGGGTCAAAACAAATAAACAAACGACCGCACAAAAAGGAGATGACAAAAAAAAACCAAGCAACCGGCTGTCTCAGTGAAGACGGCGGGGTTGCTTGAGGGGGAGCAACAGGGCAGTATACCAAATACCTAAGGCAAACTACATAAGTTCAAATTGGACAATAACAATGTAAGCTAATATGTACAGTAGATATACGAGTATGTATGTATGTAACACTGACACTAGGGTGGATCGAAATACACAAAGCGCAAAAATACTAATTACACGAATAGAAAATTAGACAAAACCTTGTTTTCGGGGCGCACCCGAAGTGAGGTCCAACCAAAAGGTGGGATAAGGAAACACAATTGGGGAAGCCTACCGACCACAACAACGTCTGACCCCAGACGCACAGAAGTATACTTATCGGCGGTCGGTGGACGCTCCGACCGTGGGGTGCTCCTTGGGAATGTGGCTCCCAAATCCGGTGCCGACTATAACGCGCCTCGACTGGCGCCGATCTCCAAAAATTTTGCAAAAAAAACTCCGCTGCCAATAATATTAATAAACTATGCTGCGCTCGCAATACGGGTGTTGCCTGACTCGATGCTCGTTCAGATCTGCCCCGGCACGGAGTTGCGAGCCAGGCCGCAACCTATGCACCAGTACGCAAACCGTTGGAGTGTCAGCGCCGGTGTTGTTGGTGCCCGATCAATTGGCGCCGGCCCGATCATTCTAGAAGCGAATTGGGCGCTTTAGCGGTCGCCACCACGGCGCACACAAACAACACCATGGACTTGTCATTGCCATCATATGGCGGACAACAAAAGTGCCGCAATAGGTAAGAGCAAAGGCGACACCTCCTACATTCTTACTTTCGGTCGGCACCGTTTTCCCCTTTGCGGTGGCGCTCCACCCAGGGTTGCCACTTTGGTAAATTGTTACCAAAATTGGTAGAAAAAATTTGGGTTGGTAAAAAGGAAAATTTTTTCTCAGTTTGGTAGATTTTTGATGAACTTTCCGTTCCCGATTTATTTTTCGTAGTTATCTTTAACATTACATACATACATTTATTTGCATACTTTTTATATAATTACATACGTATAAATGTATATCGATATAAGGCGAACATATCGCGCTCCATTCAAAACTGGAATCCCGAGGAGCTTTTGATCAGGGTTCGTATTTGCACGCGCATGAGCAGCACTTCCCAGCACATTTCGCTCATACACATGAGTGTGCGTTTATAAAAAAAAATCTTGCGCACAACTCAGGCGTGTGCGCTTTGATATAAAACACATGGTCATGTGTGTGCTTCGAAAATTACAAAAAAAGGCACATGCGCAAGGGTGTGCTGTTCGATATAAAACACATGCACACGTGTGTGCTGTGTGCAGTGAAACTCATGCTCCAGTAGGAACACTTTGAATTTTGAGTCTTAATTTTAAAAAACAATTAACTTCTACTGTCATACAAATATTTAAAAAAAAATTTAATTTAAATAAAATGGAAAATAATGAGCTATATGAGATTCTCGTTCAAGAGAAAAAGATTAAGTGCTTAACTTGTGCAAAAGTATTAAGTGGGACGAATACATTTAATGTGAAGCGACATTATGCTCTGTCCCACAAGATGGAAATCGCTACTAAGAAAAATACGAGTAAGTGGAAGACGGTTGCTAAAAAGGCTAAAGGGTCTGTAAACATCGATATTGATAAGGAGGAGTTTTTAAAATGCTGTGTGGGTTTTGTGACAGTAAAGAACCTTCCGTTCCGTTTGTTTGACGACCACGATTTTTTTAAAAGATTAATCGAACCATATGAGCGTAAATTTGGAACAACTTTGAATTCACGCAATATAGTAAATATAACTAGTCATATCACCAAAAATATAAAAAAAAGCAATTTCTGAAAGATTAAAACACAAATTAATTAGTTTGAAAGTTGATATCGCTAGCAGAATGGGCAAGAGCGTACTTGGAATAAATGCCCAATATATTGAAGATATCAAGATATGTATACATACTTTGGGTAAGTTTTGAGTTTTTCTTGAAACGTCTGTTAATTTATGTTATATAAAATCGATAGGTATGGTACGGCTCAACAAAAGGCATAAGGCAGTATTTATAAAAGAACAAGTAATCAACTGTTTAGAAAGTAATGGCTTAGAACTACAGCAAGTGTACTCCAACACCACTGACAATGGAGCCAATGTTATAAAGGCCAGTAAAATACTGCAAGACGAACAGGAAGCTAAAATTTTGGAAGAGTCGGATACTGCCGTAGAAGAGGAGGAAAATTTACACCGCACCATAGAGTCAGTATTTTCAGTAGTAAGATGCGCAGCTCATACTCTACAGCTTGCTGCGTATGACGTCCTAAAGAGACTAGGCTCTTCGTTGGAGGACTGTAGAACCCTTATTAAGAAAGTGCGTACTTTAGTTCGCACGGAATCTAGCCATATGCAAATGCCAGTACTAGATAATTTAACGCGGTGGAACTCCAAATATGAAATGCTAACCTCACTGCAGAAAATAAAAGAGTTCATAGAGCAGCAATGCCCTGACAGTGAAGATTTCCACTGGGAATTTGTAGTAGACTTTATTAAAGCTTTTAAACCTCTTGCCTTATGTACAAAACGGATGCAAAGCGAACAATATGTGGTTGGAGACTTTTACAGAGATTGGTTGTCGTGTGAACTAGAGTTGCATGATCTTGGTTCTACAGTCTCATACGCTGCGCAGCTGCATGATGCGATGAAAAGCCGGAAACAAAGCCTTATGAGCAATAATGCGTTTATTGCTGCTTTATATTTAGATCCTCGCTTTAATTTTAGAGGCTCTCTCATGTTGTCTCCACAACAAAAAGTTAATGCCGAGGTATATGTGAGATCTACTAAACACACCCTTTTGTAATTTTAAATTCTACAATTTTATTTATTCAGAATCATTTGATTAAAACCTACGAAAATATGCTGCGAATGGAAAGCTCCGAAAATTCAATGTCATCGAGTCCTCAAAATCTGAATTTGCAATATTCTGAATGTTTGCCTTCTACATCCAGCAACTCTTTTTCCCGTTTAGAAAAATATATTTGTGAAGATATGGAAGAGACCTCAAGTGACGTAGAGGTAGTCCAAAATTTACGGCAAAAGTTAAGTGTATTCGCAAATGGGAGAAAATTTTCTTTAGATACTGATATATTAAGCTACTGGAAGACCTTCCCTTCGGATAAACATCTAAGAAAACTTGCTGAAGTTGTTCTAGCTGTTCCAGCAACACAAGTTTCAGTGGAAAGGGCATTTAGTGCCTTATCATTGACTTTAAAAAAGCATCGCTCAAAACTAAACGACGCTACCTTAAATAACATACTTATAACAAAACTAAATTTCGATTTATTGTACTTCAGAGACAACGACATGCATGATATCTCCTCACACTAAAATTGCATAACAGTGAATATTATTTTGGAATGCCATATAACACAATTTAAATTAACGTTTGATTACTTACTTTTATCTACATACAAGTAAACCTTTGCAATCACTTTGTATTTGTTAAAGCAACAAGTTGTCCTTATATGTGTTAAATATAAAAAATATATACATATATATTATACACTTGACTTTCACTGTACACAGCACAGACATGAGCATGTGTTCTTCATAAAAATTTTACAAACAAACTCATGAGCATGTGCTTTATATCGAACAGCACACACATGCGCATTTGCATTTTTTTTTTAATTTTCGAAGCACACACATGAGCAAGTGTTTCGTATCATAGAGCACACACGTGAGTTGTGCGCAAGATTTTTTTTTTATAAATGCACACTCATGTGCATGAGCAGTGAGCTCAATGGAACTTTTTTCAAGCACATGTGTGTGCAGAGCATGTGCGTGCAAATCCGAACCCTGCTTTTGATTGCTTAAATATTTTAAATGATTATTTAAATATAAAGAAAAAATTTACAAGTATGTAATTACGCACTATGGTTGTTCGCAAAAAAATTAAATCAACGCCATTTTTTATTAATAAAAAAAAATATAAAAAAATCAACGGGAATTTTAAGCAGAATTGACTATACTCAAATAGTATTTGCTTTAAAACTCTATACCTTAAATTGTTCTAAAAATGCAGTGTACAAAATTCGAAATTTAGATGAAAATTTTTTGAATTTTTCTATATGTATATAGTTTGAATCCTCGATTTTTACTCTAAAAATATTGCAAATATTAAAAAAAAATATTTTTTTTGAGTTACTGTATTTGTCTATAATAGCTCGAGTTGAAGTTTTTAAATAATGAAGTTTCATTGTTGCCTTTAGTTTCATCACTTCCGCTTTTGGTTGAAGGAAACTGAAAATGTATTAATTAATTAATCCCCCGGCTTTTTACCCTCCATTCCCGCCCAACCGACACGAGGGGCGCAGTCCGCATGACGTACGGAACCTTTTTTTTTTTTTTTTTTTTTTTGTTTTTTCGTGCCGAGTAGTGGAAACAGGAGTTTGTTAAGTGTCGAGATCTAAAACTATTCAGCTACAGAATCAAATTCATCAGCTGATTGGATATGCTAAAGATAGTATTTCAATTATTGAGAGTGGAAATAATAGTTTTCTTTATAGTAAAAATCGAG